AAACGTGATCATCGTTCTGGTCAAGTGTCCAAAAGATTGGTTGCTGCGTGTGATTCTGCGGCATTAAAATATGATTTACTAGATAGAGTAGTTGGTAAGTTAAAAATAAACATCTGTTCTGACTGTGCTGTAACACTTTCCGGTTTTGTTTTAGGTGATTTTCTTGATGATGTTAAAACATTGTGTACAACTGGTTTACGTGTTATGGGTGCTGGAGTAGAAAAAATTTATTTTGGTGGCCTGTTCTTTACTCTTGGCGACTATCCTGCTCAGCAGTCGATTCACGGCAGAAAAGAATCTGTTGCAGCCAAAACGTTCTGCCCTTGCTGCGATGTTGCGGCTGATAACTATATTGATTCGATCGATCAGGTAATCAACTCATCATAAATTGAATGCGAACCAAAAATCAACAGTAATATTTTATAGGTACCTTCTCATTACTGAGCACAAGATTATGAAACTGCCTGTAAAACAACCGAAAATGCGGTGGAAGGTGGCGATAGTCATAATATTGAATTCTGGCAGAAGTTTTTTGGTATTATGAAACGAAGCACTTTCTCAAGTCTGCCACATTTTGACGTTACGATGCAAGTATTATTTGATCCTATGCACATTTTATTACAAGGTAAACGTTTCAAGTCACACAAATACTGTTTTCTCTTAAGTAAATTGAGAAAGCTTCGGACGGCTTATGTTTATGCCAGTGGAACTTTTCTTCAGATTTTGTTTTAGGCGTTTGTAAATTTCATTTGAATGTATTCTTGGATTTCTGTGCTCGAAATCACTATTTCACTATGGAACACTTTTGCATGGTTGTTAATAGTTTTGATTACAATATTCATGAATCATCATCAAAACCGCATATCACAGTCAGGCGGAGGTAACTGTAAATTCTTTCTGATCGTCCGTCAAAAACACTGCTTGCGCTAGTGATCTTTACTTTCTAGGTATCCCGCTTGATGCTATTCAAATCTATCATCCTTTTGTTAACCTTCCTTTCATATTGCATAAATTATTACGTAGGTCAAGATTCGAAGCATATGACGCCATATTATCGTTAGTTGATGTCGTTAGTTTAGTTTATTCGTCAGAAGTAGACCATAAAACAGCAGATAAACTTTTACAAATTATAGTACAGCACAATCGTTTATTCAAAACACTGTATCCAAATAGTATCAAACAGAAATTCCATTTTTTATTGCATATACCACGTCAAATGCACCGGTTTGGGCCTCAAAAATATACACAATGCCTTACTTCTAAGCGCAAACACCAATTCTTTAAAGGTATTAGGTGATTACGGGTTGTTGGACTACGTTTTCAGTAAATACATGATTTTGTGTTCCATTTCAGGCATCAAGCATAGAAACTTCAAAAACTTAACAACAACGTGCGCAAAAAGACATCAAGTTTGGCAGTGTGTTGTTGATCGCAATTCAGATGGATCGCTTTCCAGCAATATTCTCCAAAAAGGCGCAATTTTACATCATGTGACTCCTGTGTCGAATGATTTGTTAAATAGTATTCATTTCGGCGCTGTTTGCATATTACGTCAGCACAGAGTAGGAACGAGGGTCTATGAAACTCTAACAAATGATGATACAGAACCGGAAAGAACATGATGTCATCACCAGTTTTTGAGAGTATTGGTGAGAAAAATGCGTTAAAGAGATAGTTTGAGATATTTTTTTCTTCATTTCTGAGTAGACTGGGTCGTCTGTATGAATAACAATATGCTGATTCGATACACTTCAGCTGTATTCGATATTTGCATAATAAGTTTGAGAGCGACCCAGGCCGTGCATAATGAGAGAAAAAATGAGCTATAAATGACTCATTTATGAGCCTTATATGGCTCATTTCTAAATCATATCTCTCCCATATTTATTTATTGTATTATAATATGGTGATAATTATGTCATTTTTTATGGGATAAATATCATCTTATTATGGTCATCAACATATGATCCTACTTAGATCATTTTTTATTTCATTTTATGAAATAGTCTTAAAATGACTGAAATATGATATCATTTTAAGCTCATATTTAAATCATTTTAGAATTATAATATGATCATTTTTACTTCATATCATAAATGAGTCATACGTGTCTTAGTTCCTGTAACCTGGGAGTGATGACGTAATATTGAACAGTTTCTTATGGGGCTTACCGCCTGCATCAACATACGTAGCAAAAATTAGCAAAATCAATGCAATATCATATGTAATCGGCGCTGTTTTGTGTACATTTAGTCAATATTTATGTGATAAGATAAAATTAGCTCAAATAATGCATATATTCGTTGTTGACAATAAACCACTATTTGGTGTTCGGTATTTAGAAATTATTAGCTATCAGAGATATATTCGAGCATTCAAAGTTCAGAAAAGAGACACATGTGGAACTATCGTACCTTGCGATCTAAAATACGTTTGGCCACTAAAACTGATTGTAATAGACGATTGTAGCTATGTTGCCTTACGGCCGTACGGCAGAATATTTTAGTAAAGTTACATTCAGATTGTTAATCATTGTTTCTTGTTGTTATATGTTGTTATGCTGTATGTATTGTATTTTCTGGTCGATTGTCTTTTGTTAGTAACTTCAGTTGGAAAGGAAGTCAAACTACAAGGGTTCTAGAAAAGCATATTGCGATAACCAGAAATGTTTCTTGGCGTTTAACATTCATCTGTTTTACTTCAGATTATGTTTCGAAACGTATGCAGCAAGTGTGATGAAACAGATGATCCTTGTGTTCGTTATGTTGAAGATAAGAGGAAAGACAACACATGTGTTTGTGGGCATAAGATTAATAAGCATGTTGATGGTATGTGCTGTACATTATACAAACTTCAAATAAATATGTTGTTTTTATTTTCAGATATGCAATCCAGTATTACATCATCTCAAAGAACTATTGAAACAATCTCAAACAATTCTCATTTGTTACCATCATCTATAGCTCCAACATCACCATCACAAAATTCTTCAATTTCTTCCCCTATGGTCGGGTTAATATCAGAAAAAACAAGTTGCCAAACACCACACTCGATTAGAAGACAAACAAATTACTCAGTATGTTTTTTCATGTTTCTGCATGTATCTCGTGATTTCTTCTATGTATGCTTTCTGCTGTGAAGTCATCTTTTGCTATATCAAAACAATCACCTTCATCTCCAAGACAGTTATCAGTAATGGGAAGAACTCCACATCGGTCTCATTCAGATATGAATAATATACGAATGGTGAGTGTTATTATAAAATCTGCAATGATTCATTGTCTGTTTTCTAGACAACCTCTTGTTCAGGCAGCGGGAGTGAGCACAAAGCAAACCAAAAGGAAGATGAAAAACCGGTAGATAGTTCTGAAGCTCTTTTGAGCTAATCTGTTGAATTTTTGTCGTAAGACCATGCTGAATGTCGTTTCTTACTTGCACTTTAATATGTTTATGTTCCTGTATCATGTGAATTTTTTTGTGAAACAAGCGATTTTATCATGGCTCGACATATTACTCAACGATCTGTCGATTACAAAAATATTAGTTTAGCAATATTAAACAGATATCCGGAAGTAGGGAAGAGGAACAATTTTCAACTGGTAAGTGCTTCTTATCTGTTTTTTATCGTTACTTAAATCTGCTACTTTTGTGCAGAGAAGTTTGTCTATCCCATTATCACTTTGCATTCGAAATAAGAAGAAAGAACAACGACGAAAGTTTGGACTTTTAAAACCAAGAATACGAACCAATACAAAATCAAAATTAAATCTCACGCAACACATAAATAAAGGAAGAAATATGGTTGATCCAGATACGGTAAGCAACAACGGACATTAAATAGCAGGATAGACTTTACGACAGACTTTCGCGCATCTGTACTTGCATTTTGTAGCTCTCATTTGAAAATAACACAGAAAAACAAACATTTACATTTTCAACAGATGAATTCAACGATAATAGCGATTTCGTACGTAATATAGTGGATAATCACAATGAATATTAAAAAACTTTGTGATAAATTTTATCTACCCTCTGTTAAGATCAATTACTTTAACTTTATTACTTTTTAGCAGCTGTTGGTCGATAATAGCGTTGCAACTATGAGAGATACAGCATTATCTGATTTTGATAAGGTAAGCAATAAGCAAAATTAAGAAAGCCATATTTTAGTCAGGAAAGTCGTCTATGATATACCAGAGAAAAATGGGGGAATTATACGAAAAGAATCTGGAATTTGTGAATTTTTTCTGTATTTTCAAGCAGATGGACATGAATGATGAGGAAGTAAATCTGATCACAACGGGAAATGCTTATGAAATAACAATAGAGACTTCAAGAGATCACGATGCATCGGACGTTATTACAGAACAACCAGAAAACTTAATTAGTTTAAGTGTTGAGTCACCTAAATTAAATATGCGTGATCAGAGTGTAGTCGAAAAAGCAAAAAAAATAGCAGCCAACGCGGCTTTCAGTGAAAATCAGGATCCATTTGAATCGGATAGTCAACACACAGTTGTCGAGAAGACAAAACCCGTAACAAGAATTTGTACACCAACATCGGTGCGTGTGGCTCGATCAAACAGATTGTTATCTACTGGTAACACAAGCGTTTGTTTGCTTATTTTTACCGTATATTAGTATAGTTGTTTCTATTCTTAGCAAATATGAATGTGCAAAAAAAATTTCAGTTTATCTCAACCACCGTCATTTATTTATCCTAAAATTGGTAAAATGCTTAGGTTTTTGTGCTATGTAATGTAAGAACGAGTGTCTTCATTTTTTTTAGTGATTTCAAGTTCAAAATTATCGCACTTACACGAACAACCACCTTCTTCTCTGCGTACAGTACCAAGTAAGAAACCTATTTCTCCATGAGCGTTAATGGTTAACTAACAGTAATTTCTGTTTAGTTATTTCGAATATTCAACGACTGAGTTCATTCCGTCCCATAACTAGTGATGTTTCTTCGAACGCTAGATCTTAACTAATTTAAGTGAACAACTCTTGTTTATTTACATTTAGTCCGTCCGACTGCTCTTCTTGTGCTTCAGTCAACAACAAATACATGCACAATTTCTATACAAAAAGTACGTTGAAACGGCAGACCACAGACTAGCTAGTCTGTGGTCTGCCGTTCAACGTACCTGCTATAGTGATGTTAATACGCTTCAAAAACAAAGGTGCACCACAAATTCATTGGATGGAATTATCAAATTCATTCAGAAAACATGAAAGTCTTTTATCTGCAACAGTCAAGTTTTTCTGATGGACAGTGGTTACCGAGATATTCGCTGAAGACGCTGCTTTACTACTGCATTGTAGCAGTGTAATGTGGCGTCCTCAGCAAATATTTTGTTAACCGCTGTTCATCTTGACTTTGATGCTCAAGCCGCAAACTACGACAAGAAAGGAGCCGGTGAAGCCCTTGCGAATCAAGCTGTCATTGCTTTTCTCTCCGAGGCTTCTGGTGTTCAATAGAACGAGAATTCGACAAAGGTTTTGGACTTTGGATACGGTACGGGACTCATTTCACAGGTAAGTTCTTGCATCTTGTGCGTGGAACGAGGTGAAGGTACTTGTATTAGTAGGAGTTGATCAGTCATTCGAAAAGCGTGATCGGCGTCGATACTTCGCAAAGAATGGTCGACGTTTACAATGAAAAGTGTCACAAACAATGTATTCCACCGGAAAAAATGCATGCTGTTTGTATCGATTTACTTCAACCAGATCAAGTTTTCTCCAATCTTAAAGACTTTAACGTTGTCGTCACATCGTTGGCGTATCATCATCTAGAAGATATCGATCTAGCTACTCGTACACTTGTTGGTCTGTTAAAGTATGGTGGAAGTTTTTTGATTGTAGATTTGATTCGCAATGAGAAACAGGTGAATCTACACCAACATCATGCAGCTTCACATACGGTCGCTCATCTTGGAGGCTTCGAAATGGGAATGATCGAGAAAAATTTGAAGAATGCTGGCCTAGT